GCTGGCTCTTTAATGGTTAAGCTGCTTTCTGTCACTGTGGCACAGGTGAGTCAGAAGCTGCTGCAGCAAATCACAGAGACTGTTCTGCAGAAGACTGTGGATGGGATGCGTGAGGAGGGAACACCCTATGTGGGTGAGTACCATCTGTATTCACTGTTTGCTGCAGCAGCCTTCATTTATTTTCACTTATCGTTTATGCCCTTGTCTTTCAGGCGTGCTGTACGCAGGCCTGATGCTGACAGAGCGGGGCCCGAAGGTGCTAGAGTTTAACTGCCGCTTCGGAGACCCCGAGTGTCAGGTGTGTGTTTCACAGCCAGACGTCCACCTTTGCATCTCCTCTCTTTAAAACTAAGCGTTGCTCTCCGCTCTTGCCATTTTCCTCCAGGTGCTACTGCCGCTGTTGCAGAGCGACCTATATGAAGTGATCATGAACACCATGAATGGCAAACTGGCCTCCAACGCCCCCGTGTGGCACCAGGACAGCTCTGCAGTCACTGTGGTCATGGCCAGTGGCGGTTACCCCGGCTCCTACAAGAAAGGAGTCGAAATCACAGGTACAGGAAATCCGCGATTTCAGCAGGAGTCTTGTTTAAACTCGTCTTTGAGTGAAGATGGTGGAGTGTGGCTTCACTTTTTCTGTGAGCCTCTCAGTCTGTACATGTGCAAAACTCTAGTTCCTTTTTCCTTCATGTTAATGTTTCAGTCTGTGGTTCTGTGGATGTAATAATTCTGCAATCCAAAACAAAAACATGCACATTTTATTGCAAAAAATGATCAAGTTATATATGTAATGCATTAATTTCTGCAAGTGCTTTACTGAAAACACTACATCTAGATTTTTGGGATATATACTGTGTGTGCGCACGTTATAGTGCTTGGAACTATTAGTGTAACACCTCGGCTCCTCCTCAGGGTTGTCCCCAATTCAGGACATGGGGCTGCAGATTTTCCATGCTGGTACAGCCTTGAAAGACGGAGGCGTGGTCTCCAGCGGCGGGCGGGTCTTGTCTGTCACTGCAGTGAGGTCGTCTCTGGAGCTGGCCCTGCAGGCGGCCAATCAGGGCGTGGCGGCAGTTAGCTTCCCGGACGCGGTGTACAGGCGCGACATCGGTCACCGAGCCATCGCTCACCTGAAACAGCACAGGTGTGTGTAGCTAAAGATCCTGTTGTGCTTTTGTTCATTCCTTTGCTGGATATCATGTATTTGAATAATAAACTGCGTCCTTGTTCTTCTTTCCGCGGGTATTAATTTTCATCTTCAGCTAATTAAGTTGTCATGTAGCTGATCTAATTCACAGTGAGGAATTCCCGACTGATTTTCAGCCTCTTTCATTAGCTTCACTGTGATAGCAGCTGCAGACCAACACGATATTACCGACTGTCACAGTTCAGTGAGTGCTGATCAGTTGTCTCTGACAGAGGTCTGACCTATAAGGACAGCGGTGTGGACATTGCTGCCGGAAACAGGCTGGTGGACATGATCAAACCCCTGGCCAAGGCAACTTCCCGTTCTGGTAATTTTGTTCTTATCTGCAGAAATTGAACACAAAAGGAAGAAAGGGTTTGTATTGTGTTTACACACAGCTTATGCGCTTGTATCTGTGATCGAATGTCAAACACACAACATTGGGGGGGAAATTGTTTAAATGCCACTCTGTAAACCTCATTTTATTTTCTTCCTCTTCTGCTGATGGAAACCTTTTTTCTAATTAGAAAACACGTTTTCCTGCCTTTTCAGTAATTGTAGTCATTAAATGCTGTGATTTTTATTACATCTGTTCTTTTCAGATAAAGCAGCCGTAGTCTAAACAACAAACTAGAACGAATGAGTCACTTGTTTTTCTGTCTTTGCCAGGATGTAATGCAGAGCTCGGGGGCTTCGCTGGGCTCTTTGACCTGAAGGCGGCTGGATTTGTGGACCCGATCCTTGTATCTGGAACAGATGGAGTTGGGACTAAGCTCAAGGTGGGATTTCAGTCCTTTAAGGAGAATAGAGCCTGTAAACCTAGCAGTGTTTGGATTTTCTTTTAATTTTTTTTTCTTTTTTAAATCATCAGATCGCCCAGGCGTGCAGGCAGCACGGCATTCTGGGTCAGGACCTGGTGGCCATGTGTGTAAACGATGTGCTGGCACAGGGTGCTGAGCCACTCTTCTTCCTCGACTACTTCTCCTGTGGTAGCCTGGATGTGGACGTGGCCGCCTCGGTGGTCGGGGGCATCGCAAAGGCCTGCGAAACAGCCGGCTGCGCGCTGCTGGGTGAGAAACAAGACATACCGTTTGAGGCTTATGAGGTAAGGTAGATCCGGTCTTGACGTTATGTTGAGTTCATGCCATCTGCTTCTGCTTGCAGGTGGTGAGACGGCTGAAATGCCGAGCGTCTATCCTCCGGGAGAGTACGACCTGGCCGGGTTCTGCGTCGGCGCAGTGGAACGAGGAGCCCTGCTGCCCAGAATGGGGGATATCTCTGAGGGGGACATGCTGATTGGAGTGGTCTCCTCTGGGGTTCATAGCAATGGCTTCAGTCTTGTCCGTAAAGTCCTGGAGAAGGCAAAGCTCAGCTACAGCTCCCCTGCTCCCTTTGGCAAGTCAGGACAGACTGTTGGTGAGTCAAAGAAATGAAGTGTGCCTTTGCTCCAGGTTACCCTTAACCTCTTAAGCCCCAACGCCCCCTGATGCGGGGGCAAAAGGCAGGAGATCAGTTAGGCTTAACAGTTGAACTCAATTGTTTGTAATTCTGATTCCAGGGGAGGTTCTGCTGACTCCAACGAAGATCTACAGCCGCCTGCTCCTGCCGATCCTGCGCAGCGGTGCTGTCAAAGCCTACGCTCACATCACAGGTGGGGGACTCCTGGAGAACATCCCACGGGTGCTGCCACAGGAGCTGGCTGTGGATTTAGGTGAGATGAAAGCACAAACGCAAACTATATCAGAGAGACAACGACCTGAACAATGTGGAGAGGAAGAATAAGAATGTATAAAAGCACTTAACAGAAGTGTTTTTATATTCAGCACAGTTGCAGCACCTCCTGATTGATTATTTACACGGTTTATGCACGGTACAGATGCCTCTCAGTGGAGCATCCCCCCAGTGTTCTCCTGGCTCCACAAGGAAGGAGGTCTGAGTGAGGAGGAGATGGCCCGCACCTTCAACTGCGGCCTGGGAGCGGTGCTGGTGGTCGCCCCTGTGGACGCTCAGAGGGTCCTGAGCCAGCTTCAAGCCCACGAGGAGGCCTGGATTGTTGGTTCGCTGGCCCACAAGGAACCTGGTGAGACTGTGAAATGCTGATGCTTACAAACAGGCTGGCGGGACAGAAACAAAGAGACTAAAAATGAACTTTGTGTTCACGCAGGGGCCGAACCTGTGGTGGTCCGCAACCTGAAAAACAGCCTGCTCAATGCGGGACAGGCCTCCAGCAAAGAGGTGGCAGTCGAAGCGAATGGGGGTTGTCACGACAACAGCATGGTACCACGCAAGAGGACAAAAGTAGGAGTTCTCATCTCTGGCACAGGTGTGTTTCTAATAATGGTGAAATGAGTTCATGCAAGTACCTTTTGAACAGTGGTTTAGGAAATCTGTGTGTGTGTCACATAAAAGCAACAGAAGAGTTTTTAAGTCTAACATTGCCACTATCAGTCACAATGTTTCAGTGACAAAATATCATCTAGACAAGGTATTTGCAATTTGTGAAAGTCATTTTATTTTCCAAAATATTGAAGTACAGTGTCAGGTGAGGACGTCTTCCTTCTGACTAATTGTTTTAAATGTATGCGGCTGGAGAGACGTCACACATGTAGTGTGCAAAAAAGCGAAGGAGAAGAGAAGTTGTAGCCTTGTATGTCTGCACCTTCAGAGTCAAGATATGAAGAATCATATTTTTTAAACTGGTGTCTAAAAATAAATGACTATTCTGTTCTCCTAGGCACAAACCTACAGGCCCTCATAAAGCAGGCCAAGCGTCCGTGCAGCTCAGCTGAGATTGTGGTGGTGATTTCCAACAAACCGGGAGTTCAAGGCCTGAAAAGAGCATCACTGGCTGGCATCCAGACCCGGGTAACAACCAGCTTTTCACATAACTTGGGGGAAAAAAAATGATAACACCCACTTCTTTGAGTGGGGTTTTGGAGATTTAAAAAGTCTGGATGAGCTCACTGATGTGAGTTTGGAATTAAATGAATAAATAAATACACCTTAAGCAGTGGTCTGATCCATGTGTGCACACTTTCTGGGGAAAAACCTGTCTGTCTGGCTCTGAATAGGTGGTAGACCACAAACTATACGGCAGCCGCGCAGAGTTCGATGGCACCATTGATCGCGTGCTGGAAGAATTTGGGGTGGAGTTGGTGTGTCTGGCTGGGTTCATGAGGATCCTCACTGGAACCTTTGTCAAGAAATGGAATGGTAGGCGCCCTAAAGCGCATCTTTTCTTCTGTGAAATATCAGAGAGATTTAAGTCTTCTTACAGTTTCAGTGCGTTTGTTGTCACAGGTAAGCTGCTGAACATCCATCCGTCTCTGCTACCCTCGTTCAAGGGTGTGAATGCTCAGAAACAGGCTCTGCAGGCTGGTGTGAGGGTCACTGGCTGCACGGTCCACTTTGTAGCAGTAAGTAGGAGCTTGTGTTTAGTTCAGATGTGAAAACCAGGAAGCAGAGTCGTGGGAGGCAGGAAAGTTTATTTAACATTTTGCTGTGGCTTCTGTACTCAATCAGGAGGAGGTGGACGCAGGAGCCATCATCGTGCAGGAGGCGGTGCCCGTGCTGGGTAGCGACACAGAGGAGAGTCTCTCCGACAGAATCAGAGAAGCCGAGCACCGAGCCTTCCCTGCAGCTCTGGAGCTGGTGGCGAGCGGCGCTGTGAGCCTTGGAGAGGATGGACGCATCAGCTGGAAATCTCACTCAAGTTAAAAAATAAAATAGAATAATAATGTGCCGTTTACAGCAATTCCAGTTTACTTCCGTTACACAAAACTGGTTTTAGAGAAATGGAGACACTAATACAGAGTGATGAGTAGAAAAAATGTTTACTTTTTAAAAAGTCTTCAGCTGACTTTTGTACACATCATCATGTGCTGTAGGGTCACTTAAAGCTTTTGGGGAAAAAAACATAAGAAATGACTGCATTAACTACATTCCACTTATACCTTGTAGATTTGCACTCGACTCAGATTTAGCATGATGAGCCTTCTTGTTACAGTATCTGAATGCTTGATTATGAGGTTTTGAATGTTGTCATTGGTGACTTGATAATAAAAACTGTGGTTGAATGCAAACAGTCAATTATAAGGATTTCAATCGTGTATTTTTGATAGTGGCTGTTTTTTGTCCAGAGTCCTAAATGTCCTTCCATGTAGCCAGCTTGGATTACAAATATCCTTTGATCCAATTCCTTGCAGTTTTCCCATGCTGTTCGTCCTCCCGAGATTCAACAGCTGTCCAGTTGTCCATGATTTGCTCTTGTTGAATTCTACCTCAGGGGCTAAAAGAAATGCACCCTGGATAAACATGTCCAAGGAGGTCATGTTTGTTGGTTCCTGTGGAAACGCAGGACGGACAGCCTCTCGTTTCTCGCTCTTGTAGACAAATACGACTCTCCCTTCAAGCCACTTTGGCCCAGTAGGTGGATGATCTCCTCTGGTTAAGAAAGGGGGGGGGGAAACGACTATTCAAGCTTCAATTCCTTACAATGAATAACTGTTGTAATCCAGTCAACCAACCTGGATCATTCTCAGCAATTGTGATGAGGTAAAACAGCCCTTTATCGGACAGCAGCTGCACCACAGCTGGCAGAAATCTGTCGGTCACCTCTCGCCCTCTCTCCCCTCCAGCCCAGGCGGCTTCGATGCCTGTGCTGCCCACCTGAAAAATAAAACCCACTGAGTAACTGTGGGGGTTAATGCACCATGCCTGAACTTCATTAACCTTGCTGAGCACCTCTTCTGAAGGCGTAACCACGTAGGGAGGGTTAAAGAGGAGTATGTCCACTTTCCCACACAGCTGGGGGAGAAGAGAGTCAGCCTGCAGGAAGAACAACATTCAGATATGCAGGTTGTGAAAACCCCAAACCATAAGAGCAGCTGAAGATTACCAGGTCTGTGATCACCGGCTGCAGGGACACCCTGTTACAGGAAGCAGTCTCTGCTGTGCATTGTGCTGCTGCAGGATTCACATCAGTGCAACTGAAACATAAATGCATGCGTACATGAAACTGGATGCTATGTTCTACATCAGTAAGTCCCATTGCCTGGACATTGCTGCTAGGTACCAGAATGGCTCACATATATAAAGCCGAAGGTCCCACCACCGACGCCAGGAATGCAGACACCACTCCTGAGCCACTGCCCACCTCCAAACATACACACGGGCTGAAAACGGTGAAGAGGCAGTTAAGACTCTGATAAAAATGTGTGTGTATACTGGAAATAATACTCGATCCATGGCTAACCTCATCCGCTGTAGCCGGTCTGCATCTTTCTCCAGAGCATCAATCAGGAGGAAGGAGTCCTCCGCCGGCTCGTAGACCTCTTGGAAGTCTCCTCGTCCAGCGTGGGAATAAAGCGGCGTGGGGTAGCTCGTACTCATGTTCACTCTACAGCTCACTAAATATCCACTCCTCCATCTGCTGGCACACACTAAGGAATCAAGCTCGGCAGAGCCACTGTTTAATGTTTGATGACAATATGCCTAAACTTCTATTTAACTAAAAAATATAGCTAGCTCAGCCCCGGAGACGTTCTCGCTGTACTTCCTTATAGGGCTTTGGAGTTGACGTCACGCCGCAGTGCATTGTGGGATCGCGGCGCCATGTCAGAAGGCAATAAATCAAAACAAACACAGTGTTGGAAGCGGGACTGCCAGAACCATGCTTAAAATCAGTGCAAAAAATCGCGACCGATTGCGCCCAGAAGCCAAGAGACGGTACTTGGAAAGTAATAGCGTGCATCGGTAATGTGGACCCACATGAAATAAGGCAGTGGAGTGGAAACCCAGACAGCCTACCGCCGTTGTCCTATCCCGATATCTTCGCGTACCTTGCCTGTGGAGTCAGCGCATAGGGGAAATCATTTTCCAACCCCTGGAGGCGCACGTCTGATTCACAAACGGTTGGGTACAAGATTTGGCCGTTTTTAAGCCTCCACGTTGTGAGTACGTTGACCATATGACCAAGATACAACCAGAGGTTGCACATAACATTGACTTCTCCTCAACACCTGCCCCAAAATTTGCTCTAGATGAACGGTTCACGATTGATGCCAGCTGTGCGTTGCCATGTAAATAGTTTGCATTTCATGTGTATGTACTTGCTAAGTACATGTGAACAGATCTTGAATAAAAAAAAATAAACATACTTTTCATTTCTGTTTTATTGAAACCACTTTACAGAAAGTACAATTATTTACAATGAACTGTACATGCAACACAGCAGTTTTATGAATATTAAACAAGAGCAAATTTCATTTGGCCCTGCTTTGACAACCACACTGGGGCACATATTCACCAAAACACAGCATACCTTAACAATCTTATCAAGCAGTGTTGCGTCTTCACCCTCACATGATGTGAGTAATCGGATTGGCATTGTAGTCAGTAGCGGTTTTAGACACGGGCGGTTGCCCGGGGCGGCATCACG